TACTTGGCAACCAGGCAGGGATAAGGAAGGCCAAAGTATGTGTTAGGGAGTTTAAAAGCATACTTGGGCTCTGGCCAGCATTTGAAAGAAAAAGAAATAGTTAATGCCTTTCTGAAAAAAGATGGGCAGACCTAGCAGAGCCTCAAGGTAGCTCCTAGGGACAGCTACCTGCTACCATCTTCTGAAAAAGAGAACAAGATGCAGGGTATGGTGGTACACACAAAGGTAGGGGATCTCTGTAAAAGCAGGGCCAGCCTGGTCTACATAGCAAGTTCCAGGCCAGCTGGGGCTACGGGGAGACTCTGTCTCAAAAAGATAAAAAACAAAACAAAACAACAACAATAGCAAAAAACCCTGAAACAGAACAGGCTAATCTCTTATTAAGGAATTTAAAATAATATCCTACTCCTACCAGATTATTTTAATCTACCTACCCTCCTTGGTGTTCTAAGACTTCTGTAATTTGTCTTCCCCTGCTCCTAACTAGTGCCTTTCCCCACTCATGAACCTCACAAGACCTTTTGCTATCCACACTTTCAGCTCCATGTTTACCAAGTAAAAGCTTTTGCTTGAGCTTTGTTTCTCACTAGAACACTTTCTCCTTTCTTCAGGCCAACTCCCACCAAAGTTCCCTTGTTGTTCAAGATAAAACATATACAGCAAGCTGGGGATATAGTTCAGTGTTAGAATGCTTACTTAACATTCCCAGCACTGAAAAAAAAAAAGTAATTAAATTGTATCCAATACCTTTCCCTGAAATCACCAGGAAGATCCCAGGCTGGCCTTGAACTCTGGCTCAGCCTACCTGCAGAGTGCTGGGATTTCAATACCAAGACTGGCTTTGGTATTGCTTTTTTATTTTTCTTTTATGTGTATGAGTGTTTTGCCTGCATGTATCTAAGTGCACCTCATGCATGAAATACCAGAGGAGGCCAGAAAAGAGTGTCAGATCCCCTGGGACTGGCGTTATAGACCATTGTTAGGCACTATGTGGGTTCTGGGAACTGAACCTAGGTCCTCTGCAAAATCAGCCAGTGCTCTTAACCCCTGAGCCATCTCTCCAGCCCCGGAGCCCATAGTATTGCTTTTTAGTCGTTTAGTAAATGAAGTCTTTTTTTAATTCCTTTTTTTTTCTTTCATTTTCTTTAAAAAATTTTTTTAAGGGACTGAAGAGATGACTTAGCACTTAAGAGCACTGGCTCCTCTTGCAGAATACCCAAGCTTGATTCCCAGGGCCCACGTGGCAGCTAACAACCATCCATAACTCCAGTTCCAGGGGATCTGACGCCCTCTTCTGGTCTCAGCGGGCACTGCATGACACCAGTGCACTTTCATCCATAACACTCATACACATAAAATAAAAAACAGCAGGGTGTGGTGGCGCATGCCTTTAATCCCAGCACTTGGGAGGCAGAGGCAGGCGGATCTCTGTGAGTTCAAAGCCAGCCTGGTCTACATAGCAAATTCCAGGACAGCTGGGGCTACAAGGAGACCCTGTCTCAAAAAAAGATCCCCCCCTCAAATTTTTTATTTATTATTTTTATTCTATGTGTATGAATGTTATGCCTGCATGTAAGTAAGCATACCCATGTCGTGAAATGCCCCCAGAGGACAGAAGAGGCTGTCGGATCCCCTGGAACTGGAGTTATGGACAGTTGTTAGCTGCCATGTGGGTGCTGGGATTTGAACCCCGGTCTTCTGCAAGAACAACTAGTGTTCTTAACTGCTGAGCCATCTCTCCAGCCCAAGTAAATAATTTTTTTTTTTTTTGTCTTTTTGAGACACAGTCTTCCTGTAGCCCCAGCTGTCCTGGAACTCACTATGTAGACCAGGCTGGCCTTGAATTCACAAAGATCCACCTGCCTCTGCCTCACAAGTGCTGGGATTAAAGGTGTGCGCCACCACGCCTGGCAATAATTTTTTAATATATATTTTATTATTTTTATGTGTATGTGTGTATTGCCTGCATGTAGGTAAGTGCACCTGTGTCGTGCAATGCCCACAGAGGACAGAAGAGGCTGTTGGATCCCCTGGAACTGGAGTTACAGACAGTTGTTAGCTGCCATGTGGGTGCTGGGATTCGAACCTGGGTCTTCTGCAAGAACAGCCATTGTTCTTAACCGCTGAGCCATCTCTCCAGCCCCATAAATTATTTTTTAGTATTTAAAAATATTTTACTTATTATTTTATGTGTATGAGTGTATTCCTTGCATGTATGCAAATATACCTATGTCGTGCAATGGCCCATGGAGGTCAGAAGACGTGTCAGAACCCCTGGAACTGGAGTTATGGACAGTTGTTAACTGCCATGTGGGTGCTGGGAATGGAACTGGGTCCTCTGCAAGAGCAGTCAGTGCTCTTAATTGGTGAGCTATCTCTCCAGCCCCGTTAAAAATTTTTTTTGGAAAAAAAAAATTTTCTTTCGAGACAAATTCTCTCAAACTTCCTATATAGCTGAAGATGACCTTGAACTTCTGATCCTCCTGCCTCTACTTCCCAAAAGTTCTAGGATACACCATGGGCCACCACCAACTCCTGGTTTATACTATGCTAGGGATTGAACCCAGGACTTTGTGCATGTTAGGCAAGCACTCTGCCAACTGAGCTATATCCTTTCTTTTGTAAATTATAGTTGATTTACTTATTTTGTATGAGTGTGGGTGTGTGTGCACATGCCATGGCACACATGTGATGGTCAGAGTTCAACCAATAGGAGTCAATTCTCTCCTTCCACTATATGGGTCCTAGAAGATGAACTCAAGTGTCAGGCTTGGCAGCAGGTGCCTTTATACATTGAGTCATCTCTTTGGTCAAGAGATATATTTTATTTTTTATTTCTGTGTATGGGTGTGAGCCTGTGTGTGTATACCCTGTATATGCAGGTGTCCTTGGAGGCCAGAAGAGGGTGTTGGAGCCCTTGGAGTTGGAGTTACAGACTGTTACGAACCACATGACATAGATGCTGGGAACTGAACTCTGGTGATCCTCTGTAAGAGCAGCAAATGCTCTTAACCACTGAGTTATCTCTCCAGCTCTGTGGTGGTTATTTTCTTAAAGATTAGGATTACATACCACAGTGGATTGTGTGGTAGATTGTGCCTGAAGTGTTTAATACTTATTGCATTGAACTGAGATTTGGGCTAAACCTTATAACTTTAAGTGAATTATATTAGCATTTAGTATTCAATAAGCACATATTTAATATTTAAGCCCCATACTAGGAGCTAGGCAACATTTAAGCTTCTAAATTTTTTTTTTTTTGTCTTTTTGAAGCAGGGTCTCCCTGTAGCCCCAGCTGTCCTGGAACTCACTGTGTAGACCAGGCTGGCCTTGAACTCACAGAGATCCGCCTGCCTTTGCCTCCCTGCTGGGATTAAAGGCATGTGCCACCACGCCCAGCCCTAATTATCTTTTTAAATTTAATTTTTGTTTGTTATTAATTGTGTGTATGTGATATGCGTGTGATTGCAGGTGGACATATGCTACAGCACATATGGAGGGCAGAGACAGTTTTTGAGAGTTGGTTCTGTCTTTCCAAGACGGGTTCTGGGACTGAGCTCAGGTCTTCAGGTTTTGGAGACAAGCAGTTTTATCCATTGATACATCTTGCTGGCCCACATTCCTGAATTCAACAGTCTATTAAATTGCCTTGGACCAAAACCCCCTCAGCATGTAATCATGTTTAGGTATTATTCCTTTGTTTCTCATTCTATCTCACTGTTTTACCTGGCTTTAACTCTCTGAATCTACCTGTGTGTGTGTGTGTGTGTGTGTGTGTGTGTGTGTGTATGCACCTGTGTACGTGTGTGTATCTTATGCAGGACACAGCCTAGTTGGTGATGTTCTGTATTCAGATCCCCATTTTTTTTTCTCTCTAGTCCAGTAACGAAGCTGTGGGTGGAAGTGCCCACTCAGACAATACTATCTGAGAATGCCAGTGCCTTCCAGGCCACCTACTTTCCTGGGAATTTTGAAAATCTCTTTTGTGTCAGTCCTACGCAGGGAAGAATCCTAGCAGGCAATACCAAGATAGAAGCTGACCAGAATTGTCTGAAGTAGCTTTATTCTTCCTCTTCACTGACATTCCCCAAATCAAAGGGTCTTTATGGGGGTGGGTGAAGAAGGGGCAGTTTAGCTCGGAGATCCAGTGCCCTTTGAGGAGAGGTGGAGCACTACCAGTCCTGTGCCTATGGGGTATTACAGGATTAGGGCCGCTAAGCACTTTCTCTTTCAGGGCTCGTGTTGCTCTTCGGTAGTCTTGGTCTCCACCTCACTTTTGGCTTCAGCCCTCCTACCTGTCCTCTTTCATCAGCCAACCTTCTCCTGACTTCCGGCACCCTAGCTTCCCCATCCTTAGTTCCTGGCTTGGTGGCTCAGGCCCACCCTGCTCTGACTGTCGAAGTGGGAGGGGAGGAAACGGTAGGGACAAGATCAACCTGCGAACACTTTCCTTTCTTGGGCCTCAAGCCACGAACTACATGCAGGCTTTCTTATTGTGGTCAGGATGAACGTGAAGCAGAGAAAGCACAAGGGGACGCAGAAGAGACAGAGAGGAGAAACGCGGAGGGAAGAGGCGGGAGACTCCCTGGGGAGACGGGTCGCCCGAGCCGCTGAGGGGAAGTGAGGGAGGATCGCGCAGGCTCTGACAGCTCAGCCCAGCCGAGGCCCCCCGGTTTCCTGTCTCTCTTCTCAGGATGTTCTCCTTCCTGTCTGTGACAGTTTTCCCCAGAGCCTGCTCTGTCAGCCTGTCTCTGTTTCTGTTTCAGTGTGTGACATCTGTCCGGGTCTCAGCGACCGTCCGTGGTTCTCTCCTTCTCGCGCTCGTTTCTGGTCTCCAGCTCTCCCTCCCCGCCAGGCTCTCCGGGTGGACCAGGCGCTTGGCGCCGCTCCTCCCAGCAACACTATTGGAGGAGAGGTGGATAGAAGGCGGTACTTAGCCCACCTCTGAGGATCCTATTGGTCGAAGCGACCAAGAGGCGGGGCGAAGGCGGGCCGGCCTGGAGGCGGGCGGGGCGGCTGGGGCCGAGCCCTGAGCTCTGGGCGGTCGCATTGTTTTCCTCCGCGGATCTGCGGAGGGAGTTGGGGCTACCCCTCGGACCCAGGACTCCGGTTACCCGACAGCGCCCCGGAGCCTCTGTCCAAGCACCGTTCAGTCGGGAGGCTCATCGCCGGAGCCCCAACGGCGGATTGCGAACTCTGCGCGGCGCGGAGCTGCTGGCTGCCCGCCGCTATCTAGGTCCTGCTGACCCGGATCTCGGAGCGAGTACCTCGGGGTAGGGATGGGGCTGCAGGGAGGGACAGGGGGCGCCGCAGGCCAGGGTCGGGGGGAGCGGGGAGGTCCAGCGCGCCTTGAGCCTGGCTGGCAGAGAAAGGGTCATCGGAGTTGGCGTGCGCGGAGAGGACGGCGACCGAGCCCCGCTGCGCTGCTCCGTGCGGGGTCTAGGCTTCTCTTTCCATTGCTCTCAGAGTCGTGTCCCGCTAGGCTGGGGAGCACGAAAGGAATTTTTTTTTTTGAGGCGCGCACCATGCAGAGGGTGGTAAGCCCAGCCCCTTGCCTCCCCCGCAGGGAAACTAAGGCTCGGAGACCCGTGGAGAAGCAGACCCCGCGGGGATGGGAAAGGGGGACGAGTCGTTCCGGACTTTGGTGTAGGGGCTGCTCCTCCGTCCTTGTGCAAGCTGGCGTCTGAGCACTCCCTGCTTGGGCAGAGTCGGGAAATGGGGGCCCCACGAGAAGCATGGGTTCCTGCGCCCACCTCCTCGCTTCACCTCATTCGGTCCCGGGCTTTGTTAGACTGGGCTTCCCGGGAGGAGAGCGGAGCTGGCCGCCGCATCCTTGCTCAGCAACCCGCTCCGCGCCGGCCTAGGGCCCGCCCTCGGCGGTTCCCAGCCCTGGCCCTGTTTCCCTGGCCTGGGAGACCCGCCTCCGTTCCCCAACCCCCGCTTCCATCCGCACTCGCTCTGCGCCTGCAGGCCCCTTCCAGCCCCTCCTCCCGCTAACGTGGCTCTGGGACCCGGTCCCGGCCCAGACTCTGCTACCCGCCCCTCCACGGAGCCCTGGATCCAGTGAGGGGGAGACACGTCGAGCCCCTGGCCCTAGGCCCACCTCACGCTAAGCTCCAGACACCTGGTTTATCCTCGTTGGGGGCTGGGTGGGAGGGAGCGAAGGTACGGAGCCTGGGGCTGGGAGCGTTGGGTAGGGAGAAAGGTCTTGGAGAAGGGAACCCGCCTATTACAGGAGACTCCTGGCTCGCCCCCGAACCCCTGAGGAAGGTGGACTGGGGCGGGCGACCATTCTAGGGCTTCCTGTTATTGTCCCCAGTCCGGCCTCCCCTATCCTTTCCTTGGTTCCTCTAGACTCCAGCTATGACCTCGGCCACTCCCCAGAGGTGGCTGCCTGGCTAGGAGAGGAGGGCTGTTTCCTCTTCTCCTGAAGGGGAGGACAGGGAGGGAGAAAGAGTGGTCGAATCTCTCCTTGGGATTCTTCCAGGTCACAGTATGCCTGTCCCCAAGCCAGGGGTTGGATGGGAGCCACCCAGATGTTGGTCCCCAAAACAGCTATTGGAAGTCCTCTTAAAGACGTATCGCAGTTGAGTCTAGTGGGCCAAGGCAAAGGCCAACCAAGTGTTTTTAGAGGCTGGACTAACCCAGCTTAAAAAGTGAGTGTAGGGGATCCTTAGTGTGAGAGGTGAGGTAGGAGGGAGGCTCGGCCTACTGTTTGAGGAAGGTAGGGGATGGAGTTGCTAGCTATCAGAGCGGTTTTTGCTTGTAAATGAAGAGCATGCAAATGAGATGCAAATGAGTCTCTATTGTCCCCTAGCTAGGGCGCTTTTACCCAAAGGCTGTTAGATTCCGAAGGTTTTAACATGGGAGTGGTCATCATGCCCCACAAACTCCCAGACATCCCTTGCCCAAGCCTGGCCCTGTAGTTCCAGGAGTTTCTGACTTGGGGCCATCCACTGCCCCCATATCTTCAGGCGTGAAGCCATGAGCATCTTTGTAACCAAACAAAATGTAACCCCCCCAAGATAGCATGTCCCCCACATTGGCCTTAACAGCTTTTTCCTAAATTTTCACATTTACTTTTAAAGAATGTGGTAAGGGAGATATAATTTGGTCTTTTCCTTCCTTTTGTCCCTTCTTGCATCAGATCAGTGGTCTCGTATCCCCTCAGAAGTCTGTTATCCCTCTTCATCCCCCCACAGGATTCACCACCCTAGGTAAGGAAAGGGCATCGGCTCCTGAGGGCAGGGAATAGAAGCAGACATCACACACCACCAATGAGTTCGGGAAGAGGGTCTGGCTGTTCTTCCCACTTGCCAGAGACCAAAGTTGTTTCCAGGGTGAAGATACCAGTTGCCCAGGGCAACTTGAGGGGAGGGCAGGTAGAAAAGCATTAGAGACAAGCTGTGTCCCCGTCTCTTCCCCTGGGAGCAGCAGCATCCGGAAACATGGGATGGGGGAGGGAGAAAGGCTTAGCCTTTCACCACATGGGGGGGGGTCGTTAGTTAGCTGACTGCTCTGCCCCTGGGGAAAGGGGGTCATCATTAGGTGTTTCTACCCTGTCCTGTTCTCCAGCTCTCTTGGGGCCCCACCTGACGTCAGCCTTCCCACCAGTGATGCTGGATTGGGGTGGACAGACACTTACGTCCTGGCTTCAAGGGTGGAATTACTAGGGAGATGGAAGGGGGCTTGCCCTATAAGCCCAGGGCTTCTCCTTTAGGGGACATGGGATAGATAACTCAGGCTTGTGGTAATTTTTTCACAAAAGAAAGACTTCTTACCCCCTCTGACCTGATTAATGAGACTTCCTCTTCAGCTCCTCACTTCAATTTCAAGGGGAGGCAGAAAGCTGGTGTGTACCTTCCATTGTGCATCCAGCCAGGGTCAACTGGCTGGGGGGCTGATGGGTGGGAATGAGACCTGTCTCACCACCCCTTCCACCATATCCATCTTTTCTTGGACTTTGGGCTACAATGCCTGTCACTGAATTATTTATATTTCAATTTCAGAGGCAGTCTGATGAGGGAAGAAGGGGAAAGGGGCATGGTCAGCCATTTCTCCTCACCAGCCCCTTCAGTCCCTCACAGGGAGTGGGTCTGCTTTTCTCCCCCCTTTAAGAACATGCACTGGTTCTTAGGAGCCAGGAAGGCAACAGGGGGCTCCAGGCTGGGAGGGGGCACAGTGGTCGAGGAGACAGCTGCAGCCAGAGCTAAATTTAGCCTCTGATCTGGCTTTGATGCAGATTCATTTTTGGCTTCGACAGCCCCCCTCCATCCCCTCCCTGCCCAGCTTCTTCCTTACCAGTGGGAATGGTTCCTGACGTATGAGCTTAGGCCAGGTCAATGACCCTCAGGCTGTTTGCCCCTCTCACTCTGTTCTTTCTCAGCCCTAGACAGGAGGATCGTGGTTGCCACACAGCTGCCTCTGCATGGGCACTGTGCCTGCATCGCTCCCAGGGTGCTGTGGTGGTCTGTGAGGGAGGGGGAGCTGACTCCCTGCCCTCTTCCTCCTCCCAGTGCCAAGAAGTCACTATTTATAATGTTAAAGCTTTGGTGTCTAATTATAGCTGAGAAAGGGTTAGCACAAGGGGGGCCAGGAGGTGTCACCTACCGAATGTCCCAGAACCAGTCAGGAGGAGGAAAGACTGGGAGGGGCAGTGGGTATGTCCTGTCCTTACCTGGGGTCATGCAGGCAGGCTTCACACCAGCCAGTTTGGGCCGGTTGGAGAGGGAAGGGCCTTGAGTGACAGTGACATCTGGCTGGGGGTGAGGCAGAGATGGTTTTTTCCCCCACCTTACAGGGTCTTCTGGGGATAGACCTGGGGTGGAGTCTGCATACATCAAGGGTGGAGGGAACTTGGTCCCTTCCCCCACTTTTTTGTCTCCCCTTTCAGGGCCAGCATATGGGTGAGGGGGCACCCCCTGGGGCCTGAGCTGGCCCGCACAGGATGCCCGGAGCCCCCCACTTCATGCCCTTATTGCTGCTGCTGTTGCTGCTGTCACTCCCACATGCCCAGTTGGCCTTTCCCCAGGACCCCCTCCCTCTGTTGACCTCTGACCTGCAAGGTGAGTGCCCCACCCACTTCAACCCCCTCTGTGAGGAAGTAGAGACTGAGACCCCTGTGTAGGAGGCAGGGTGGAGGAAGGCTCCCAGCCTAAAGGAAGCTAAGAGAGTTTCCAAGTAAAGGGGAACAAACAGGTTGAGTGAGCTGGAACCTCAAGTTTTTCTCATCTTTGGGTTTGGTTCTTCACTCAGAGGTGGTGTTGCTAGGCGGCTAAAAATGTTACCTCTGAGCGTGATGGTGCACACTTATAGTCCCAGCACTTGGGAGATTGAGGCAGGAGGACAGCTGGGAGTTTGAATCTAGTCTGAGCTATACTGTGGATTCTAGCTGGGATTACAGACAAGTCAATAATGAGCTCAGCCAGACCAAATCATAGCATGTTCGGATTCTTGCTCCTCTGCTCACTAGCATTCAGTAGGTGACACCTCCTGGCCCGCCTTGTGCTAACCCTGTCTGACCTTGGATAATGTTATCTAACCTTTCTTTGCCTCAGTTTCTACATCTGTAAAATGAAGATAATAGTATTCTACCTCATGGAGGCAGAGATTAAACAAGGTTACAGATTTAATACAAATGAGGCACAGTCCTGAGAACACTGGCACAAATTCAGTGCTTTATATTTGTTTGTTATTAGCTACAGAGTGAAGTCCTGAGCCTAGTCCAATGGTTCCCAACACCTCTTACCTTCCCTTCTGCCACTTGTACCACCAGTAAAGCCTAGGCCCCACCATGATAGAAACCATAAACCCACATTTTTTCAGAAGTCTCTATCTATTTGTATGTCTGTGTTATGTATGTTGAATTTAGAGTAATTTTAAGTATAGAGGAACTGTAGTTGGGTTATTGGGAGTAATTGTTAGGGGATAGTTAAGAATAGCAGTCTGAGCCGGGCGTGGTGGCATGTGCCTTTAGTCCCAGCACTAGGGAGGCAGAGGATCTCTGTGAGTTCAAGGCCAGCCTGGTCTATATAGTGAGTTCCAGGACAGCTGGGGCTACAGGGAGACCCTGTCTCAAAAAGATAAAAAAAAAAAAAAAAAAAAAAAAAAGAATAGCAGTCTGCCTGCCTGGTAGTGCACACCTTTAATGCCAGCAACTTGGGAGACAGACAGGCAGATCTCTGTGAGTTTGAGGCCAATCTGGTCTATATAGTGAGTACCAGGCCAACTGGGTCTACAGGGTCTACAGACCCTGACTCGAAAAGACCAAAAAAAAAAAAAAAAAAAAGTAAACAGTTACTTGTGCTAGATGCACTTCTCAGCACTCTGGGAATGTTAAATCATCTTTCACCTCTGGGCTCCCTTTGAACACCAGTGCCTATGACTTCCAAAATTGGACTAGGAGGACATGAGTTGGTCTTAAGAGGGAGAGATCTTGAAGGGTGGAGGGGGGCAGTTAAGAGTCTCAAGGGGAAAATGCAGAGAGGGCTGGGAGAAATGGAGACACAAAAAACACTCCCGCTGGGGCAGTGTATACAAGGTGGGCCTGATGGAATTTCTAGTACAGAGGTGATCCTAAGAAGGGACTGGGTTCAGCTTGGAGTCAGACAGACCTGGATCTAAATCCTGCTGCCTGTTGCCTGTCTAGTAGTCATGTAAATCCCTTAGTGTACTGACTCTCTGATCCTCCTCTGTGAAATGGGGCCAATGTGAGTACCTATCCATAAAGTTAATGTATTAAACGAGGTAGCCCAAAGTGCTAACAGTGGTTGGTGGAAATGAAATGCTCAGTGTTATTGGTATTGGAGTTTTTTGGTTGTTTGATTGGTTTTTTTATTTTTATTTTTATGTGTATATGTATATTGCCCACATGTAGGTAAGTGCACCCGTGTTGTGCAATGCCCACAGAGGACAGAAGAGGCTATCAGATCCCCTGGAACTGGAGTTACGGACAGGACAGTTGTTAACTGCCATGTGGATGCTGGGATTTGAACCTGGGTCTTCTGCAAGAACAGCCAGTATTCTTAACCACTGAGCCATCTCTCCAGCCCATTTGTTTTTTGAGACAGGCTGGCCTCTCTCACAGAGAGCTGCCTCTGCCTCCCAGGTGCTGGAATCAAAGGTGTGCGCCACCATGCTTGGCTGGTATTGTTTATGTTAGTTCGACAACTTGGGGAGTCAGTTCTCTGCTTTCTACCATATGGGTTCCGGAGATTTAAATCAGGTCACCAGGCTTGGTACCAGGCACCTTACTTGCTGAACCAAGTTCTTGGCCAACCCTGGTTCTTGTTTTTGAGATAGTGTCTTGCCATGTATCCCTAGCTGCCTTGAACTTTCAGCACCCTCCTGCCTCAGCCTCCCCAGTGCTGGGTTTCCAGGTGTGTGCCACCATGCCTGACACTGTTATTGTTTTTATTTATTAATAGATTTGGGTTTCTCTTCTCTCCCACTCTGCACATAGCTGGGTTTTGTATGGTTGAAAAGGGAGTTGGGAAGTGTGTTTATCATCTCAGCTGCTATCCTCTGCCCACCACTGTGTCCTTTAGGTACTTCTCCATTGTCCTGGTTCCGGGGCCTGGAAGATGATGCTGTGGCTACAGAACTTGGGCTGGATTTTCAGAGATTCCTGACCTTGAACCGGACCTTGCTAGTGGCTGCCCGGTAAACTGGCCGAGGCACAGTTATGGGGCAGACATGCATGCTCCTGGGCAGACATGGGGCCTGCATGGCCACTGCAGCATCTTGCAGGGGACACATGCAGGTGCACAAGCCATGGGATATGGACATGCTTAGACCCAGAGAATAAATCCCAAGGCATGGAGTAAGGGGGAGGCTAGGGAGCAGGGGGTTTGTGTGGCTTGTCCCTGAGCAGGTGAACATGGGTAAGGAGGGGCCAAGGAGCTCAGGCAAGGTGCCTTGGCTCAGCTCTGATCCCTTCTTACCTACCCTTCAGGGATCACGTTTTCTCCTTCGATCTTCAAGCCCAAGAAGAAGGGGAGGGGCTGGTGCCTAACAAGGTGAGGGGCTGTGTGGGAGGAGGTGCAGGCATGGAGACAAAGCTGGGAGAGATCTAATGAGAGTCATGCCTGTGGGAAGAGGGACTAAAAAGATCCCGAATGTGAAGAAGGGTCCAGGTTGCCCCATGACCTTCCCTCTTCTACTTCTCCCTTCAGTTTCTAACATGGAGGAGCCAAGATATGGAGAACTGTGCTGTTCGGGGAAAGCTGACGGTGAGAAGTGGAAAGCAGGGGATGGGAGGCGAGGATTGCCTGCTTCTAGGTGGCACACTGCCATGCCGAGACTTCATATTCCCTTTTCAATCCCACCACAGAGGACAGTGGGAACGAAAGAGAATTCATGCTTTTTACTTCCACTTAAACACCTCAGAAAAGAGACAAGCAAGGTTCAGAAGGACCACAGAAGCTGGGCTTGGTGGCACACGCCTGTAATCCCAGCACTTGGGAGGCAGAGGCAGGCAGATCTCTGTGAGTTCAAGGCTAGCCTGTTCTACATAGTGAGTTCCAGGACAGCTGGGGCTACAGGGGAGACCCTGCTTTGAAAAGACCAAAAAGAAAAAAAGAAAGACCACAGAACTTGCCCAAGGCCAATGAGCTAGTGAACAGCTTGAGACTTTAACCTTATTGCTCAGACTGCCTCAGTGGTAGAAGCTTTACTTCCTGTGACCCCTAATTTCCCAGGCCCCCACCACTGACTGACCTAGAATTTTGGGTCCTCTAGGATGAGTGCTACAACTACATTCGAGTTCTTGTTCCCTGGGACTCGCAGACGCTCCTTGCCTGTGGAACGAACTCATTCAGCCCTGTATGCCGCAGCTATGGGGTATGGAGAGGGACAGGAGGGCAGGACAGGGCTGGGAGGAGAACCCAAAAGGAGCATCTGGGGTTATGAATGGGAGTGTGTGGAATGCAAGAGTCCAGAAGGGGTTTTGGGGTGAGTGGGAGTGGGGCTGTGGCACCAGGCTCTAAGACCCTAAGGTTCCAGGAACCTGCTTCCTCTGCCCCCAGATAACGTCACTGCAACAGGAAGGTGAGGAGCTGAGTGGGCAAGCTCGATGCCCCTTTGATGCCACCCAGTCCAATGTGGCCATCTTTGCAGGTGTGTACCAGGGCATGTGAGAAGCAGGCATGTGGTTGGAGGGAGCCCCTGCCTGAGCTCCTCTCCTAACTTGGTCTTTCCCTATGCCCCTGAGTGGAGGGTTGAGGTAGGGGCCAGGGCCAGGCCTAGGTAGGGGTGTGGGTGGCCTAATAAGACACATTACCATTACGGACCCTGAGTCTTCTCTAACCCCACCCTCCTCCTCCCTCCAGAGGGCAGCCTGTACTCAGCCACAGCTGCAGATTTCCAGGCCAGTGATGCAGTGGTTTACAGAAGCCTTGGGCCTCAGCCCCCACTCCGTTCTGCCAAGTATGACTCCAAGTGGCTCCGAGGTCAGGGTCATCCTGGGGGGTGGGGGGTGGGGACTGTACCTGGGGAGAGAGACTGTTGGGGGCAGTGGTGGTGTGTTCATATATGCAATGGGGTGAGGTGGCATGGGGTAGGAGTTTCTGAGCAGGTAGAGATACTCTTCCCTAATCTTTCCTATCACCCCTATCTTAGAGCCACACTTTGTTCATGCCTTGGAGCACGGAGACCATGTCTACTTCTTCTTCCGAGAAGTCTCTGTGGAGGATGCCCGGCTAGGGAGGGTAAGGAGGTGGGCACCAGGTTTGGGTAGCTGGAAGATTCTTCTGGGTCCTGAGGAAAGTTCTTGACCTTAATCTTCACAACACAATGCCTTGGACTCCAAGCCTCCACTTTTAAATGGCTCCCAGCTCTCATTCCCTACACCTGGTCACAACCTTAATCTTGGCCCAAATTTTAAAAAATATTTTATGTGTATATTGCCTGCATTTATGTAAATGCACCTGTGTCATGCAATGCGGCGTAGGATCCCTTGGAAATGGAGTTACAGATGATTGTTAGCTACTGTGTGGGTGCTGGGAACTGAACCCAGGTCCTCTCCAAAAGTAGCCAGTACTCTTAACTGCTGAGCCATCTCTCCAGGCCCCCTTGGCCCAAATTGATGTATACAGTTCCCTTTCTCTGCTGTGACCCTTTCATTTGCCTTTTGGAGCTCTTAATTCATGCATCCCTTTTAGGTAGCTGGCCCATGACTTGCTCTCAATGTCTTCTCTCAGGTGCAGTTCTCCCGGGTGGCCCGGGTGTGTAAACGTGACATGGGTGGCTCACCTCGGGCCTTGGATCGCCACTGGACATCTTTCCTCAAGCTACGGCTCAACTGCTCTGTCCCTGGGGACTCTGCCTTTTACTTTGACGTCTTACAGGCCTTGACTGGGCCCGTGAACTTGCATGGCCGCTCTGCTCTCTTTGGGGTCTTCACTACCCAGACCAATAGGTTGGTACTAGGCTGACTGTGTGACCCAGTCCCCTACCCAATCAACATCTAAACTCCCTTCTCAGTGCCTACTGCTGAGGGGAAGCTCTAAGCAAGACCAGTTTGCTGCCCTGACCACCTTTTCTTTTCCTAGCATGGTACTCAGTGACTGCCCCACCCAGCAGTCTCTGGCGCTTAACATGGTGCATAAAGGGTAGCTACCACTTTTACCTGGCAGGAGCTGTGCAGTCCCTGTCAACATCTACCTTGCATCTTTTCTGGCTTCCTCAGCATCCCTGGCTCTGCAGTCTGCGCCTTCTACCTGGATGATATTGAGCGTGGGTTTGAGGGCAAGTTCAAGGAGCAGAGGAGTCTGGATGGGGCCTGGACCCCTGTGTCTGAAGACAGGGTCCCCTCACCCAGGTACCCAGGATGAAGGTGGCTTTTGTGGGGCAGAAGCAAGCAGTGTCTGGTCTGTTCCTAAGATGGGGCTGTGAGGAGGGATAAGGTGGCTGAGGCCCAGGGATGCCACACTAGCAGTGGGTTGGCTGTGGGACTGAAGAGCTACCACAGAAAAGGGAAGCAGTGATGTAAATGTCTGTGTGCAGGGGAGTAAAGGCTACCAAACATGTTTGGGAGCAGTTTTCTGTCCTAAGGCAACCCCTTCCCATGTGCCCACCAGGCCAGGGTCCTGTGCAGGAGTGGGTGGAGCTGCCTTGTTCTCCTCCTCTCAAGAGCTACCTGATGATGTCCTGATCTTCATCAAGGCACACCCATTGCTGGATCCTGCTGTGCCACCTGCCACCCATCAGCCTCTCCTCACTCTCACTAGCAGGTAGGGGCCTAGGAAACACTGACTTCTACCCCTTCCCCTCAGCCACTTTCTTTTTTCTGTTGTGGCGTCTGCAAGGTAAATTATATTGGTGGCAGGGAGAAAACTTGTGAAGGAGGAAGAAAGAGCACAGGGAACCTGGGAGTGTGGGAGAAGAGGACAGGAATGGGAATCTGCTCACCTGGGCTCTCCTTGAAATGTTCAAGCTTTACTAGACAGGTTGCCCTCACCTGAAGCCTATCGCTCCAGGGCTCTACTGACCCAGGTAGCTGTGGATGGCATGGCTGGTCCCCATAGTAACACTACAGTCCTGTTTCTTGGCTCCAATGATGGGACAGTGCTGAAGGTGCTACCCCCAGGGGGACAATCCCTGAGACCTGAACCTATCATACTGGAAGAGATTGATGCCTACAGCCCCTCCCGGTGAGGCAGGCGCCTGAAGGGCAGAGGTGGGATGGGGAGGTTGGTGATGGGGATGGGGAAATAGGTTGGGTGCTCCAACACTGGCTTTGCAGGAGTAGGGGCTATGGAGTAGGGAAAGGGGGTTGGTGAGAAGTTCCCACTATGTTAGGCAGGGTGGCTTCATGGGTTGTACTCAGATGCTTGCTCCCCCCATGCCATTCACCAACTCTTCTGGGGGAAAAGGCAGCTCCATCTGCCCAATTCTTATTCCTTATGGCATTGTATTAGGTGTAGTGGGAAGCGGGCAGCCCAAGCAGCCCAACGGATCCTAGGACTGGAGCTGGACACTGAGGGTCACAGACTCTTTGTGGCCTTCCCTGGTTGTATCGTCTACCTCCCTCTTAGCCGCTGTGCCCGGCATGGAGCCTGTCAGAGGTGAGAGGAACCTGAGGTCAGGTGCTGCTTGGCCAAGCTCCCTAGGCCAGCAGGAGTACAGAAAAATCCACAGGCCTTGAGGATGCCAGGGAAATGTAGGGGATGGGTTGGGGAGAAGTGGGTACCTTGGGTATTCTGAAGGTGAGCAGCAAACAGGGTCTGGAGTAGATGGAGGTGGGTGGGATAGAAGAATGGGGTCAGGAGCCTTCTGTAAGTCAGGGTGAGAGTAGAAAAGGCAGTGAAGGGGCTGGAGAGATGGCTCAGCAGTTAAGAATACTGGTTGTTCTTGTAGAAGACCTGGGTTCAAATCCCAGCACCCATATGGCAGCTAACAACTGTAACTCGAGTCCCAGGGGATCTGACCTCTTCTGACCTCCACCGACATTGCATGACATATGTTCACTTACCTACATGCAGGCAATACATGCATACACATAAAAATAATTTTTTTTTAAAAAAAGAAAAGGCAGTGAAGTAGAATGTGGTGAGTAGAGGGGGTACCAGCCTCACATGACAGTTTCCCCTAGGAGCTGTCTGGCTTCTCAGGACCCATACTGTGGATGGCATAGATCCAGAGGCTGTGTGGATATCAGGGGACCTAGTGGGTAAGTTCCTGGATCTCTTGAAAATAGTTTTCCTCACGATTAAGAAAGGAAGCTGAAGGCTAAACATGGTGGCACATGCCAGCACTCAGGAGGCAGAGGCAGAGGGATCTCTGAGATGGAGGCCAGCCTCTTCTACATAAGAAAAAAAAAAAAAGCTGATGGTGGGGGTGGGAGATGAGACAATGTGTAGAGCTGCCCTGAGCACCTTCTTTTCCTCCTAGGACTGATGTGGATCTGGCTGGAAACCAGGAATCCATGGAGCATGGTGACTGCCAAGGTAAGAGCTGCAGCCATAGCTAGAGAGGCACATGGCTCTGATGGCCATCAACAGCATGCCAGGCGTGGGCTTTTCTCTTTCTCACCTTCCGTGCGAGACAGTCACCTCTGTCAGTTCTTCAGGAAGCCTCCCCTTTTCCTTGTCTTCATCCTGTCTCTCTTCATAGATGGAGCTACTGGGAGTCAGTCTGGCCCTGGGGATTCTGCTTATGGTGAGTCTGCTTGCCTCAGTTTCCCTTTCACTCACACCCAGGTCTGTGCCCCATGGCATCAGCAGACCAGGATCCTGAACTCCAGAGAAAAGGAGAGACTAGAGACTCTTGGGTTCCAATGAGGGGGAACCTCTTGGTGGTGCCAGGGGTGGAGAGCACCAGTCTCACTGGCTTTGACCTGGTCTCTCACCAGTGCTTCTTGGTCCTGGCCCTTCCCCTGAGACCCCCAGTTCCCCAAGTGATGCCCACTCAGGGCCCCAGTCTTCCACTCTTGGAACTCACACGCAGGGTAAGGTTACCTGGGAGGAACCTGAGTGCAGTGTGGGGCTGCTGATTCTTGGAGAATTCTAAGCCTGGTGCTGACTGGTGTTTGGTGTTCACTAACACCTGTTTGGAACCTTCCTTTGCCAGAGCTGGGCATCCCAGCCAGCCTCCTGCACGTGCAGTTTGGTAGTTGTTTTTGGCATGGCTACACGGACCAAGACTGGGCTGGGGACACCCCAGACTCATGCTCCTAGCTTGTGTGCTTAGGGATCAGGGGAAGTGACTCCTAAAACTGGAAAGTCGAGGCTGTGAGTGAAGCTAGCATGAGAATTTGGTTTGGGACATCCCCCTCCTCCCCGTGCACCGCCCACCTTCTACTGAGCCTCCCTACTCCCTCACGGTCTGCAGGCGTGCGCAGGGACCTTTCTCCAGCCTCAGCCTCCCGCTCCATCCCCATTCCACTTCTCCTGGCCAGTGTGGCCGCAGCCTTTGCCCTGGGCGCCTCGGTCTCCGGCCTCCTGGTTTCTTGTGTTTGTCGCCGCGAGCACCGGCGTCGGAGCAAGGACATTGAGACCCCCGGGCTGCCGCGCCCGCTGTCCCTTCGCAGTCTGGCCCGGCTGCACGGTGGCGGTCCTGAGCCCCCGCCTCCACCCAAAGACGGAGACGCGGCACAGACACCCCAGCTCTACACTACCTTCCTGCCTCCTCCCGAGGGCGGACCCCCGCCAGAGCTGGCCTGTCTGCCCACGCCGGAGTCCACGCCCGAGCTGCCGGTCAAGCACCTCCGCGCCGCCGGGGGTCCCTGGGAGTGGAACCAGAACGGGAACAACGCCAAGGAGGGCCCGGGCCGCCCGCGCTGCTGCAGTGCCGCGGGCGGGCCCGCGCCGCGCGTGCTGGTGAGGCCGCCGCCCAGACGGGAACCACGCCCACGGAGGCCCGGGGCCGCCCGCGCTGCTGCGTTGCCGCGGCCGGGCCCGCGCCGCGCGTGCTGGTGAGGCCGCCGCCGCCCGGCTGCCCGGGGCAGGCGGTGGAAGTGACCACGCTGGAGGAACTGCTGCGCTACCTGCACGGCCCGCAGCCGCCCCGGAAGGGCGCCGAGTCGCCCGCCCCGGCCCCGTTCACACCGCGGCCGCTCGTACATGAGCCCAGCTCCGCCCCCGCCCTGTTCGCGGACTCCTGCCCGCTACCGCGGGACTGCGTGCCGCCTCTGAGGCTGGACGTGCCGCCCGAGGGCCAGTGCGCGGCTCCCAGTGCGCGGCCGGTGCTCTCAGCTCCCGCGCCCCGCTTGGGGGTTGGCGTCGGCCGCAGGCTGCCCTTCCCCACGCACCGTGCACCCCCTGCCCTGCTCACGCGAGTCCCCTCGGGGGGCAGCAGGTACTGCGGGGGACCCGGGAGGCACCTCCTGTACTTGAGCCGGCCCGAGGGCTGCCGCGGCCGCTCCCTGAAGAGGGTGGACGTCAAGTCCCCGTTGTCCCCCAAGCAGCAGGCTGTGCCGAACGGCAGCCACTTTAACTTCTAAAGCTGCCCGCGCCGGTCGAGGCGCGCTGGAGGCCCAAGCGCCCTAGGCCGCGCTCTCGCCCCGCACCTCGGTCCTTCCCGGACTGTCTCCAGGATCCTTCCTCGCCTCGGGTTTATTTATTGACTGCCGACTGTCTTTGCCCGGTCCGAGACAGGGGGTGGGTGACAGCTCGTCCCCTCAGTGAGCCAGCATTCGGGGTCGGGGGCGGGGAACTGTTCAACTCCCACTGCCCGCCCCCCTCCAGCCAAGCTGCCTTAACTCGCCGCCCCTCCGGGCTTCCACGGACTGCGCCCCGGGCAGGCCGGGGCTGGAGTCGCGCTGTGCAGAGTTCTCGGGCCTCCTGGGGCCGGGATGTACCGCCTCCTACTGTGTAGGACTCGCTTCCCAATACAGCTGTGTACCGAGCCGCTGCCTGCCTCTTCTCAAGGGGAGGGAAGGGAGCGCGGGTCTCCGCACTGAGCGCCTCTACCTCGCTGTCTGCCTTCACTCGGTCTGGCCTTAGGCGCTCTCCCGAGTAATTGGCGTGGCAGCAGTCCCACCGGGGTTAATCAGGAAAGGTTTCCTGAAGGAGGCAAGCGAAGAAATGGTGTGTAGGGATGAGCCGGGGCCCAGGAGAGCCACGGCGGAGATGAGGTGGGGCTGCAGAAGGCACTCGGAGCACGGCTCTGGGCTGAGGTCAGGCACCTTTTCATGGCCTACACTTTGGAGTAGGGGAGGAGAACGTTCGAAGAAATAAAGAGAAGCTGCTGCGTGATTTGAATTTTACATTAGGAAATCTTGTAAAGAGAACTTTGCTCAGAAGAATTTGGCGTGAGAGGTAGGGTGAAAAGAATAAAGGATGGGCCTTGCTGCGGGCAAGGCTTTGCTCCAGCAGTAAGTTCCCGGCGGAGCAGCTCGGCCTGGAGCGCGCGGCGGCAAAGCCCCCCTCCCGGAATCTCCCAGCGGTGCCCGGTGCCGGGCTACATCGACAACCGTCCGCAGGTCCCGGCGCTCCACTAAGGCTGCTGTGGCTGCACTACCTGCCCGTTATCCTGGTTACCAATGGGAGGGATGGATGGGCCCACTAGTCCCGCCCATCGCCCTGGCGGTGGGAGCACTTCAGGCCTCGCGCCCTGAGGATTTGCAAGCCCGGAATTTCGCCGTCGCGTGGTGGCAGAATCCGGCCAGCTCCAGCTCCAGGCCGCTGGGCGTTGGCGCCTCCTGGAGGTTAGACCAAGCCCTGCAGTTGTCGAAAGCGCCAGTTCTTAACGTGAAATGATCTCCTGGGCGAAGTGTTGAGAACAATTTCGCCTAAAAAATCTGAGTTTATTTTTGCCTCCCTACCTTTCCTACTTGAGAGAACAACTCTGCCCTAAGCCTCTTTTCTCATCTGGAGAAGAAAGCGTGAGTCTCTCGCTTAGGATGTCTCTCTTGCCCAACTTTGCGATCTGCTTTTACAAGATAATCGTGTTGCCTTTGAGTTACAAATTCGATTTACAGATTTTTAACCCTCTGAACGTCCCTTTTAAGGCATCTCAGTTCATCTTAAGCTTTTTGGGCATAGTCCTCCAGAGTTAAATCTCCTTTTGCATGGCGCTTTCTCATCAGGTTAGGGTGGTCCTTTAGCTCTGGTTATTCCTTAGCCTTGGCGCGCACCTGTAAATGAGGTATGAGGATCTTGAATTCAGGCTGCATAGCTAGTCTCTTTAAAAAGATAAAGGTGTTGGCTCAAAATGGCTCAACAGGGAAAGTACTTGCTGGGCAAGCTTGAGGACCTGAGTTCGATCCAAGGTAGAGAGAACCGACTCCCCAAATCGTCCCCTGACCTCCACGTTTTCCATCATGTCCCCCAAATCATATAATAACTAATAAAAATTTTAAGCCGGGCGTGGTGGTGCACGCCTTTAATCCCAGCACTCAGGAGGCAGAGGCAGGCGGATCTCTGTGAGTTCAAGGCCAGCCTGGTCTACATAGTGAGTTCCAGGACAGCTGGGGCTACAGGGAGACCCTGTCTGAAAAAGACCCACATCCAAAAAAAATTTTTTTTTAAAGATGAGGAAGTGCTTGGTAGAGGGCATGGCTAGCATGTTATATGTTACCATATTGTTATACCAGTTTGTAGAGGGCATGGCTAGTATGCATGAAACTCTTAGTTCTAGCACCACATGAAACCTGGTTGGTGGTACTTGCCTGTAATTCCAACACTGGAAGCTGAGGCAGGAGGTTTATTTTGTAAGTGTAAGACACTGGAAGGGAGGGAGGGAGAGAGGAAGGGAGGGAAAAAAAGCTTGCAATGGCAATTCAGATCTGTAATTCCAGCACTTGGTGGGTAGATGTATGAAGATCAGGAGTTTACATAGGCATAGGCAATGCATTCCTACAATAATAATAATAATAATAAATAAAATATTTTTAAAACTTACCACCCTGCCCTTCGTGAGCAATTTTCTTTGTCATTGTTTATTCTGGGGGTGGAGCAGAAAGTGCTTTCCCTTTGCCCTTCCCACTTTGCAACCCCTATAAACATGTAAATTAATATACCCAGTAAAGGGGTATAAAAACTACTTGGTCATATAATACTTAACCACCTGAACCATCTTCTGGAAAATTCATTTATTTGATATCAATATAAAGATGAGGCATTGTATGTCACAGATCTCAAATATCATTAAGCATAAACAAAAAATTTAATACTTTTTTTTTTGTCTTTTTGAGACAGGGTCTCCCTGTAGCCCCAGCCATCCAAAAAAAATTTTTTTTTAAAGATGAGGAAGTGCTTGGTAGAGGGCATGGCTAGCATGTTATATGTTACCATATTGTTATACCAGTTTGTAGAGGGCATGGCTAGTATGCATGAAACTCTTAGTTCTAGCACCACATGAAACCTGGTTGGTGGTACTTGCCTGTAATTCCAACACTGGAAGCTGAGGCAGGAGGTTTATTTTGTAAGTGTAAGACACTGGAAGGGAGGGAGGGAGAGAGGAAGGGAGGGAAAAAAAGCTTGCAATGGCAATTCAGATCTGTAATTCCAGCACTTGGTGGGTAGATGTATGAAGATCAGGAGTTTAAGGTCATTCTTGGCTATATGCCAACATACCCAGCAAAACAGAGTATCTTCTAAGGCACTTAGTTCCGAACAGAAAACCCTTCTCCCTATTTCCAAAGCCTCTGCTCTGGTGTTACAATGATGAGTTCCTAGAGAGGTAGGATTGCAGAGGGAATGCACATTTATAATTAAGTTTCCTGAAGCCAGGAAGAACAGAAATAACAAAACTTCTTTTTTCTCTTTTTTTTTGGGGGGGGAAAGGCTTAAGACCAAGATGTAAACGTAAGGTCTGCGGTCCTGGATATTCAAGTCGTTCATATAATAAAATGACCTAGTATTTGCGTGTAACGTATGCCGAGCCTCTAGCTCTAGTCCCTCCCCCCTCCTTTTTTTTTTTTTTTTTTTTTTTTTTTTTTTTTTTTTTTTGTCTTTTTGAGACAGGGTCTCCCTGTAGCCCCAGCTGTCCTGGAACTCACTATGTAGACTATGTAGGCTGGCCTTGAACTCGCAGAGATCTGCCTGCCTCTGCCTCCCATGTGCTGGGATAAAGGCTTGCGCCACCACGCCTGGCTTTTGTTTTTTAAGGCAAGGTCTCCTGGCCTTGACTTCATGTATAGTTGAGGCTAGCCTTGAACTGATCCTCCTGTCTCAGCTTCACAAGTACTGGGATTAAAGGCCTGAGCCACCACACTCAGTGTCAATTGTTTTGTTTGGAAACAGGATCTTGTTGTAGCCCCAGGTGGCTTGGAACTCCCTATGTAGATCAGGCTGTCTTCATTCTTGCAGAGAACTGCCTGCCTCTGCCTCCTGAGTGCTAGGATTAAAGGTGTGTGTCACCATGCCCAGCAGTGTCTCTCTCTCTCTCTCTCTCTATATATATATATATATTATACCGTATTATTTATGGAATAATGACAAGAAAAAGTCTGTGTATGTTCAGTACATGCACAATATTTTCCTAAATATTTTCTATTTGTGGTTTGGTTGAATGCCTGGATGTGGGACCCACAAATATATATGGAGGGACAACTATACATACAATGAGAGTTTGTTCCTTTTTTTTAGTGCCAAGGATCAAACCCAGGGTCTTGCACATGTAGGCAAATTCTCTATTGCTGAGCTACATGCCCAGCCCTAATCTTTTGATTTGTTTCAGGTAGCAGCAATTTACAGGTTAAAGCCCTGGTTGTAGTTTAATTGTAAAGGAAGCTCATTTATTAGTATTTATGAGTATGGTGACCTTTCTTGCCAAGGGTGTCTAGGCTGAACTCAGAGCTAGTAGAAGCAGTTGTGTAAGATTAAGTCCTTCGGCCCTTCAACTTGTTTTATAACTAAGCCCTCCAAGCCTCAATTTCATTTTTTAAAAAATATTTATTTGTATGTGTGTATTTATTTGTATGTGTGTATTACCTGCATGTAGGTTAAGTGCATCTGTGTCGTGCAATGCCCAAGGAGGACAGAAGAGGCTGTTGGATTCCC